GGATGCTTAAACTCGTGCCCTCCTGCCTCTCTTGCTACTTCTCCCCCTCCACTCTCCATCCTTGCTTTTTTTGGATCCCCTGACTTCCATCTTTCTGCCTAAGCTGCTGTTTCTCCGTGTCTGTTTCTGTCTTTCCATCTTTCCACATCGCACGCACAGAGATTCCAGAGCGCTGCCATCATCCATTTCCAATTTCACCTTTACTCTCTTTGATTTAACGAGGTCAAAAGCAGCAACGCAGCCCGGTTTGTGCCAGCTTCCTTTCCCATGGGGCTATACAGAAAACGCAACTCACAAACCCCTCCTCAAGTCTGGAACTGTGGTCCATAAGGCTCAGGTTGAGACGTCACTGTGATGATAGGCTGGTGTCCCTTGCTGGGCCAATTAAACCAAACCAGAGTGGGAAAGAAAAAAACAACAGCAACAAACAGGAAGTCCATCTCCTGTCTGACACCATCTCTTGTCACATCCAAGATACAGCACAGCTCTGGAAAAACGGCCAAACCTAGGGACCTAGGGAGAGGTAGCTTTGCACACAGAGAATCCGAGGGCAACACTACAAACAGCAAACGAGAGCAATGGAAACTTTGTGAATTCCTCAGAGATGCCTTGGAATGGATGGGAACTTGGGGAGAAGCTTGCAACAGCACAACAGGAGTGTGCAGCTGTCGGTGTGGACAGCAGAAGCCAACAGACTGTTGGCGGCTTGTCCTGATACATGATGTCAGGACCAGAGGAGGTGATGTGAACCCTCACACATGGTAAGCTGTCCCACGGGCAAGGCTGTCTTTCTCTCTGTCTGTCTCACACACACACACACACACACACAAGCATGTTTGTTTTCATATCTTTGTGGGGACTCTCCATTTATTTCTATGGGAAAAACACATAACAATGACACCCTTAAACCCTGTTTAGCCCTAAACTTAACCATAAGTAACTAAACAAAATACAAGTTTTTTTAGTTTTTTGATTGCAGTCACAGATATTCATAAAATTGAGTTTCCATTTGAGGGCACTGAAAAAAATGGTCCCCAAAGTGTCAAAATAAACATGACCACAGACAGAGACAAATACACACAGCTGTCCAAAGATTGAACCAAAATTCAAGACTAAACAGGCTATCCCAAAGACTATAAACCCCGCTGTGGACCAATGACATCCCTTAGGCAGGAGTTTGAATCTAGTTTTACTGGAAGATCTTGTTCAACTCCTTGAATGTCTGTACCCATTCCCCCTTCCCAGAATCTTCCATCTCCCTGCACCATGAATCACATTTCCTTTTCCTGATATGAAAGATTCTTTCCTCTATTACAAGTGAATTTGGTTTAACTTCTCTGTTGTTGTGTCTCAGCACTAAACTAGGTGTCTAACAACTGCACCAAAAGCACTGTGTGACTGCGTGTTTCAATTCTGACACTCAGCACTGCACTGTCTGCAAGCAATGCCAGACACACATGCCATCCCACGCATAGAGGGAGAGCCACCCCTCCTTTTGGAAGCTTTTGTGCTGGTTAGCCAGGTCTCTGTTCAATGTCTCAGGTGCCTCATTGCAGTGCTAGTGGAAGGGTATTAGCCTCCAGGGTGTCCAAACTGCTGCTTAAAAATATTCCATGCATAAAACATAAAAGGCCATTAACTTCGGTTTCCGTCGGTGACAGCCTCATTAGAGAACGTGCCAATGGGACCCAGGTGCTCGAAGTGACATCTGGGGAGGCGGCAGTAGGCGTATAAATAAGGTACAGCAAATAATGATGAGGTTATGACCGATAGTTCATCTGGGGCATCCTGGGTGTTCTGTCAATAGCCCCGGAGGCTGAGGAATAGTGTCAGGGGGCAGTGACAAGGCAAACAAATACCACCCCCCACAATTTCACATATCCACACAGAACTACCTACAGAATTATGATACTGATGCTACTAAGAACTTCTTTTTTAAAGACAGAAGAGGGGATTTAGTTTAGTGGCACACAAAAAAAATCAAGGGTAATTCCCATCATGCACTTTGACTGTAGTGTGACGTGTGAGCTGGGCACTGATGTAGCCAGGGAGTAATCCAGCAAAGCCTTAAAAATGTGAGTGACCGGAATAGGGACAGAATATTTATCTGTTATGAATGTAGTCCAATGTGCCTGCCGCACTGACAAGGACACACGTCGTCACAGTCTCTCATTCAGGCCTGAATATTGCTGCTGGACCATATGAGTTCTCCTCATCACCGCTGGCTTGTTACCATGGAGAACGCTTCTGTCGCCACACTGTTGACTGAGAAACAGGTCACTACCCTTACTGAGGCCACGCCCACAGCTACTCTGCGAGACACAGGCCGCGTTCAGTGACCATGGCCTTCGGACCTCTTCCTGATACGGGCTGCATTTCATCTTGGACACCTGCCCTACTTACTGCCCTTTTATTAAATACCAGAGTGCATCCCCACTAAATCCCTGTTAGGTCATGTACCCTGGTGCTGTTTGCTATAAAACAACAATCAAATGCTGCTTAATTAAAAATTGGTAAAGCATTCCCCAGTTGCAGGCTTACGAAATGGATGAGGTGTGAAGAGGCTACGTGCCCCCCTTTTGTGGGGCATCCAAAAACACGCCTTTGAGAAGTGAGCGGTTGCCATAGGGAGCAGAGGTGTTTTCCGGCTTTGCAGAGGTGTTCTCCGGCTTTGCAGAATGACTTTCCATTAAGCTGTGAACAAACATGGGCACTGGCGTTTGTTATTTACAGGCAGATGAAAGTTTGATTTGATTGGGGCTGATTAGCGATGCACTGAATCCAATCTGCAGCTGCATAGCCTCAACCCTGCGAGGTTAAACAGTCAAGTTTAAACTGGGTGGGGAGGGGTGGTAAACAGAGAGAGAGAGGGAGAGAGAGAATGAGATCCTGCAGCGCTAACAGAGTATGGAGGCATGCCTTAATCTTAAGGTTTCTCAGATCAGTTCCTGGAATTATCTTGAGGAATGGTCCATTCAGGCCTTGATAGTGTAAACCACTTGGATGTGGATAAACGACTACGTTTACACTATAATCTGTTCAAATACCAGCCAAACGTGGAGCACATTAAAATACGGCCTTTAATAATTTATCCGGTGAATAAATTATCGGTGCCCTTGGAAGCAGATTCCGACCGTGCCAGGAGAATGGATTTGATTAAGGAATTGATTCATGCATTCTATTACTCTTGGATCAATCAGGGGTCGGGTTTTCCAAACAAAGCGTCAGCCTGGAGAGGAAAACCTCTCGATAAAAGTCATTAGCACTTGTTGGCGTTTTCTGCGAGGGTGACATGTGGGATTCAGGGCCCCATAATGGGCCTTCAAGGCCTGCTGTCTGCTTGGAGTTCTGTGGCAGCTCACTCATCAGAGAGCCAGGAGGAAAACTCTGGAATCTGAAAGTCTCCACTACCACAGTTCCCACCATAAGCTACCTCAGATAAAAACCAGTGAACACGGACTGAGGACTCCTGCTCACATTGCCAGTAGGAAGGCGCCTCCTGTCAATCATTCATGTGGAGCCAATGAGAAACCGGAGCCAACATACAGTAATGGCCAAGGGTGCAAGACTACTGTCTGTCTTTCCATTATTTCCATGGAGGCAGTGCTACTTGCTCCTTCCTGCCATAAGGGAGGGTCACCCCCTATCATAAAGTCAGTGATTGTATGAGCAAAATCTCAGATGGGGGGCTAGGAGAATGTCATCTGTTGAAGGTGAACAACATGCAAGGCAGCGAGATCCCATCAGTCAGCTTTAGCGCTTGCTATGCTTAGAGGGCCACATCCCAGATGCTCAACACCACTGTGCCATCAGGTCAGATCAGACCCAACACTGCAGAAGGAAGTTTGTATTACAGAGCTCCGAAACGTTCACAAAAAGAGATTAAAAACACTATTTTTTTTGCGAGTGCCGATTCTGTGTTTATCTCTCTGCTATTTGAAGTGCTGTATCGTATTTACTTTATGACGCCAGAAAGCAACGAAGGTACAAGAAATAACGGAAAGTATCGAGCATGCCCTACCCTTACCTAAAATGAACAAGTATCTAAGATCATGCACGAACTTAACGGACGTTAGAAAAACGGCCAAATTAATACAAAATGCAACCTCATTTAAATAATGAGCAATACTGTTAGTCCTTTATGTGAGGAAACGGAACTGCTTACGCGCGAATGAACAGATAATATAGCCTACCGGTAAAACTAAAACTCCTCGATAGTTTTTGAACTTGAATATATACTGTTTCCTTTGTGTGTGTGTGAGTATGTGTGTGTGCGCGTGTGTCAGACTGATCGTTACAGGTTACGGCGCACCGTACGCGCAGCTCGGCGATGTCTCTCTCCCGCCACAGAGGCGGCGCCAAGTTCGCCACAGAGGCCATTTTCCTCCCAAAAACTACATTCGAGACACTCGCTTTCAAAGTTTATTTCGTTCCTTTATGTTGTTTCATACAAATAGGAACCAAATGACCCAATACAACACATGTCCTGATAACAAAACGTACACATATAGATACAGGCTATAAATGGCAATAAATTGAGAATGTTTACTGACCAAAAACAGGTAAGCTGCGAGAGTTTATAGTAAAGTATTTTCCATAAATTAAGGAAGGCTTAATTTTCCGATATACCAGGTCAACAGACTGTAGGAGCCCGGGAGCCTGTGACAGCGGATAATAATATGATTCTGTCTTAAGTTTTCACCAACCCATGTGCCCGTTTCTAGAGGAACTGACAAGGCAAACTATTAAAGATGCAGCACTTTGAAGAAAAAAAGAATATAGTATTGCGATCTTTATATTAAATACTAAATTTAGTTACATTACATATTCCTGTCCAGTTATAGTAAACTAGTTATGATACATTACCTACAAAATTAGGTACTTGAATGCATCAGTCGCAAAGCCAATCCGTTAGCTTAATGTTAATCGAAACGCGTCAGAAGTAAAATAGTGATACAACAAGACGTGCAATATGAACTTAAGGCAGCATCTGCACTTACAGTCCGTCGCCCCGTCTGCCGGGCGCAGGCAGTCTGAACTCCACTTCTTTCCTGGCCGATCAGTTTCTTTTCCTCCTTATTCGCTTTATAACTTAATTAAACAAACAAATAAAAACCTGTTGTGATAATTATCGAATGCACTGGCTAAAAGTAATAGACGCACGACAAAGCAATGAAGCCGATAATCTGCGTGCAACAGTTGCCGAGTGAAATGGATCTTCACGGGTTTGTACCTTTTTGTCAAGTTTTGTCGAGGTTTGACAAAGAGCCGCGGGAGGAAAAACACGACGTACTTAAGCAGAAATGTAATTTTTATTGTGTGATAGCGAACGTTACGGTGTATTGAGGAGACGGTCCGCCGCGTAGCGGATCGCCGTTTCCATGCCCAGCCGAAGCTGCAGCGCCCCGGGCAGCTCCAATGGACTGCTCCAACACCTACACGGGGGAGCACGCCTTTTCTTCTTGCTTTATTTTTCAAAGTTTACCAGAATATCATGGGTTTATTAGAATGAATTTAACATATATTTTCTTTACGAAAACATGTTTATATTCAAAATGTGTCAAAGTCATTTCAATGTGTCAAAATAATTTCCGTGTAAAGCTCCAGCGTCGCCTGGTGTCGCTGTGTTGTACCCCGATTGTGAAGGCGTGGATCCTTCCACAAACACGGACGCAGGCTGTACATCTTCGGCTGGTAATGCAGTTGGATAAGCAGCCTGGTGAGTTCGCGAGCAGTTTAACCTCACGGTTTCCTGCTTGTTGCAAGACTTTTAGATGCTGGCCCATACTGTCACCGAATACACACAATTAAAAACACAAATTAAAAGGCAGTTGAAAAATGTAATGGATAGATTATACACTAATCAACCATAACAATAAAATCACCTGGGCAATATTGTGTAGGTCCCCTTTGTGCCGCAAAACAGCTCTGACCCGTTGAGGAATGGACTCCACATCTGGCACCAAGAAGTTAGCAGCAGATCCTGTAAGTCCTGTAACTTGTGAGGTGGGACCTCCATGGATTGGACTTGTTTGTCCAGAACATCCCACAGATATTTGATTGGCTTGTGATCTATGGAATCTGGAAGCCAAGTCAACACTTTGCAATCTTTTTCATGTTCCTCAAACCATTCGTGAACAATTTCTGCAGTGTGGCAGGGTGCATTATCCTGCTGAAGGAGGCCACTGCCATTGGGGAATACCGTTGCCATGAAGGGGTGTACTTGGTCTGCCACAATGTTTAGGTAGGTGGTACGTGTGAAAGTGACATCCACATGAATGCCAGGACCCAAGGCTTCCCAGCAGACCATTGCTCAGAGCATCACACTGCCTCTGCGGGCTTGCCTTCTTCCCATAATGCATCATGGTACCATCTCATTCCCAGGTAAACAATGCACATGCACTTCGTCATCCACATGATATAACAAAAAATGTGACTCATCAGATGAGGCCATAGCTACGATACACTGTGTGTTCAGACCAGAGAGACCAGCCTTTGCTCCCCAAGCATATCAGTCACCCTTGGGCATCCATGATCCCATCTCTGGTTCACCGGTTGGCCTTCCTTGGACCACATTTGGTAGGAACACCCCACAAGACCTGACCCAGTTGTCACCATCACAGTTTGGCCTGTGTCAAAGTCACTCAGATCCTTCCACTTGGACATTTTTCCTGCTTCCAGCACATCAACTGCAAGAACTGACTGTTCACTTGCCTAATATATAATGACTCCCTTGACAGGTGCCATTGTAATAAGATAATCAATGTTATTCACTTCACCTCTCAGTGGTTTTAATGTTATGGCTGACGGGTATATTATAGCTACGTATACAATCCGAATGAGAACCACACACTAGATTAGAATCAAAGGTCATCTTGTCTGCTAATTCTGTTGTAGGAAATCGAAATGCATTCGAAATGTGTTTTAACTTTCTGGGGGGGTAAATCATGCCAAAAAAGGAAAACGTGTAGAAAACATCTTCCCAGCTTGACCTGTCCGTGCGGTCTCCTAGCAACCTCCAGAACAAATCCCTTCGTTCTTCGCCCTCTTTGGGTAAAACAGATCCATCTTAGGTTTTAGTGCTGACAGGTAAGTATGGAGCAGAAACTTGGGGGTATGTGGACAAACTGTGGATATTTTACGGATGCTCTTAGTCACAGTTTGTCCGCAGCTTTAGCAAAAGATTGTTTTTTCCCAAATCTTTCATTCTTAATAGGAGTCTAATCTAGCCTTCATATTTCTATACTTTTATTGGTTGTTTTCATATCTATCCTGCAGTCTGTGAAACCATAACGCGTTATTTTTTTAAATTTTCATAAGCTATTCATATTAAACTTATCATATTAAAATTATTCATTTTAAAACTTGATATAGATTTAATCTACGCAGTTTATGAAGAAGTCATAAAAGCAACGAGAAAAATGGGCGCGGTCACATTCAGACCCTTCTCTGATTTCGGTTCGCGACGTCTGCAGAATGACTGTAAATGAAAACCAGAAACGTGCATTTGGGGGCGCGTGCACTTTCCATGTAGCTGGCTATTTCCCGTGAGGCGTGCGTTTTTGTATTAAAGAGAAAATAACGTCATGCATTTTGAAATAAAAATAGTATCTTATTTAAACGTACAAACATATATTTAGAGGTTAATTTGATAAATCGAAGCACAATTTAAAGCACAATTACTTAGTTTTAATTCCTCGATAATGAAGCTTTGCATTTTGCACACGTAGGAATGTATACTGAGCCTCTATACTCTGGATAAATAATAGCCTACAGTGGTACCGCAGAACTTGAACTTAATCCGTTCAGAACTCGGATTCGAATCGTAATATGATCGAATTTTCTCCATAAGAAATAATGGAAAACCAATTAATTGGTTCCCGGTCCCAAAAAATTACACCTAAATATGTTTTTTAGCATTTAAACACAAACGAACAGGATTAAACAAGAAAAGCATTTTTTCGTAATGGCTTCCAAAACGATAAATAATGTACCCCAACACTACCCCTGTCCTGCCCCGATTTTCTGCTCCTCCCATGTGCCACGCCCCCTCGTTAACCTCGTGTGGGATCCCAGTGTGATCAGCTGTTTCTGGTTGTTGTCATTAGTCCTCTGTATTTAGTCCGCGTTTCAGTTTGTTTCCCCAGTCCGGTCATTGTAACGTCATTGTGTTGTTCTGCCTGGTCTCAATTAAACCCCGTGTTTCCCGATCGCTTGAGTCCTGACGATCCTGCTTCCCCGGTCCCGGCTGGGCAGATCGTGACAACCCCAAGTCATGCCCCAACCCTAGACTATGCCATGAGGTCTGCATTGTTTATTTTTATTATTACTCTGTATTCATTAATTTGTTCGTAAATTGCAGACTTTTAGGTTATAACATTTGTACAACTATTGCGTAACGTTTTGGTGAGCAATGGCTACTAAAATGATATAAAGTACAGTGTATTACCTGATATTTTCAATGAAAAAAAGCATTATTACCAACAAACGATGCTATCACAGCAAATGTGAGGCTGAGACTGAAGCGTTACCCTTTACGCTGAGAAACGTTCCGCGTAACTTATTTCCCTGCGCGTACCATAGCTGTCAAGTCTCCCGTTTTGGCCGGGAAACTACCGTATTTTACCCCTCTTTCCCGCCGTCCTCCCGTATTAGTATTTTCCCGTAAATCTCCCGTATAATATAATTT